TTCAGCAGGCACAAAATATGGTTCCTAGGGATCAAATTACTGATATTGTTAGAGAGATGTGTGGACCGATGGCTCAGGGGGTCCAGACTCCTGTGTACAGGAAACCATACCCAGAATGGATAGACAGGGTACATGAATACCCAAGAGGTTTCATGATACCAGATTTTACCCTTTTTATGGGAATGGAAATCAATCAACAGTAGAGCATGTTGCTAGGTTTGCTGCTCAACGCGGTGAATTCACCAATAATGAGTGTAAACACTTAGTGTGTTCGTAAGGCAAACAATTAGTAGTGCTGCTATTGTTTGTGGTAGATCATTTCATCCTGGGAGATAGACGTCCGAATTCTGAAAGCACCGTGGAGAGGACGAATCTGTCTTAAGGACACAGTGTCAAACACTGGACTTGATCAGAAAAATAATTCAAAGAAATTAAATCAAGTAAGTTATTTAATTTACTTTCAGTATTGTTTTTACTTGTTTATTTATGCAGATTTTAATTTTGTTTTTGTAACAAAATAAAATCTGTTTTTTATTTATATATTTTTATTTCAAGTTTGATTTTTGTAATCAAACAAATTCTCTCCTTTTCTTTATTTCTTTATATTCTTGTTGTTGTTTTGTACACAACAGAATTTAATCTGTTTAAATACAGTGAAGATTTCATTCTAAAGATTGAGTGGGTTGAATGTTCAGTGTTATATGTGGTTTATAATCAATGGGATTGGGTCTTGAATTTCTTTGTGAGTTGCAAATCCTTGACACAATGTACAAGCTTAAAGCACTCACAATTGCACATAAATTAGTTATGTCGATCAAGTTGAAAGATTGTTAAAGAGAGAGAGAGAAAAGAGAGAGACTGGAAAGACAGATTTGTATAATCACTATCTGTTATTATGTTTGTGTGTAAATACAAGAGAATGAGCCCTCTCTCTTTATAGAGAGGAGAGGGAGACAATTGGAATACTGAAGCACCGAAAGCATACAAATATACATTAAAATAATACAAAGGCGTCTGTCAAAGCTGAAGGTGGTAGTGGGTGAGCTCTTTACAGCTTACAAATGCCAGCCTACAAATGCACTATAATGTATAGTATATTATATTGTTAACACAAGTAACTTGGAGCTTGAGTTTGACAATGTCGTGCTAACAGAGAATAGCAAATCAGCAAAGTTTAAGAGATCGGCACGGATAAGGAAAAACATTTATATAAGTATGGACTGGGATGTAAGTAGGTAGAATCTTTGTCTGAATATGGAGTCATGCAACTTGATTTGATTAAGTTAGGCTTTGTTTGGCAGCTCTCATAAGCTGGCTTATAAATTCATTTCACTTAAAAAAAAAAAAAAAAAAACATTTTAAGTCATTTGACATGCCCATTTTTCACCAAAAAGCTAATTTTAGACTTGTAAGTCTCGTTTGGGAACATATTATTTCAGTAACTTTTGACTCTTTACGAAAAAATATACAGAAAAGCAGAGAGAGCGATATGACAACTTATAATGACTTTTTGACTAAAATACATAATTGACAAATAAAACCGTATTAGTTTTTTGTACATCTCTGAGTACCGTATTGAATTGCATCACAATGAGTTTTTTTACCTTCTCAATTGGAAGTCCCATTATAAATGGCAAATCCTTGTCTCTTATGCATGATAGCTTATTCTTATGGTGGATGCATGTTCTAACTCAGCTGAACTTAATTGATTTGATTTATTTTGGCATTTATCTAATTAATTCAAGTCAGTGTTTCTTTAAATAAATTAATTTTTATTTCTAAAAGAACTCACCAGTTGTGGTATCAGAGCGGTTTCTCTGAATTTTTGTTTTCAAAATTTGATCAGTGACTCAACACTTCGTTTGTTGATAATCATGGAATCAATAGGTTGCAGTAATGATAATAAACAGACATTGGTGGACATCGATCTATATCTATACTATATATTAAGCGAAAGAGGGTTTTTAACCCCAAGACTTGTGGGAACTCCAATATGTAAATCTTAATTTTCTAATTTTTTATTTTTTAAAAAAAAATTTAATCTCAGAATTTAATAAGTGTTAAGTTTTTTTTTTCAAAAAAAAATCAAAAAAATTAAGAAATTAAGGCTCAAATATTGGAACTCTCACAAAACTTGTGGGTTAGAGATAGATATAAATAAATAGATAGATATAGATATAGATATTTATATTTGTTTTAAACTTTTTAAAAAACTTAGCACTTATTAAACTTAGCACTTCTCCAATATACACACTCTTTTTAACTTTTCACATACTTATTGCAAACAGTGAGTCTCCTTTTTGTTTTCTCCTTCTTGACTTCTCACTTCTACACTTTCAACTTTAGTGACCACGTATGCAAATAGTAAGTCTTCTTCTTGTTTTCTCCTTCTTGACTTTTCCTTTTGTTTACTGTTTTACTATTGTTGTTAGATAGCGCATAAAAATATTTGTGATTTATCTAGTGAATAAAAAATTATAATTTGATTTTTTAATATGATTGAAATTAGATAAATATAAATCCTTACAAAGAGAAAAATGTGATTATAATTAGTTGAATGATTCTTTTTTTTTTAATGTAATTGTAGTTAGTTTAATAGTTCTTTTTTTTATTTATTTATTTTATTATGAGAAAAATGTGATGTGATTGTAGTTTGTTCAATGGCTCTTTTTTTTTAATAAGATTGTTGTAGTTAGTTCAATGGTTTTTTTTTTAATGTTATTTAATCTTTTTATTTACTATTTTATTTTATTTTTAATATGATTAAAATTAAATAAACATAAACACTCACAAAGAAAAAAAATGTGATTGCAATGTGATGTGATTGTAGTTTGTTCAATGGCTCTTTTTTTTAATATGATTGTTGTAGTTAGTTCAATTGTTTTGTTTTTTTAATGTTATTTAATCTTTTTATTTACTATTTTAATTTTATTTTTAATATAATTGAAGTTAGATACACATAAACACTTACAAATAAAAAAATATGATTGTAGTTAGTTCAATAATTTTTTTTTTTTTTTTAATGTGATTGTAGTTAGTCAATTGTTCTTTTTTTCATTTATTTATTTTTTTTATTATGGGAAAAATATGATGTGATTGTAATTTGTTCAATGGTTTTTTTTTTTAATGTGATTTAATCTTTTATTTACTGTTTTAATAGTTTTTCTTTACAATTATTTATGAAAAAATATGATAATAGTTAGATAGCATAAAAATATTTGTGATTTGATTTATTTTTTTCTGATTTGATTTTTAAAGTACCAATTATTGATAATGATTAGATTGTATTTTGAAAAAAAAAAATTGTAATTGATGTTTTTAACTTAATGTGTTTTTTGAAAAAAAATTATTGTTTTTTTTTTAACTATCAATTCACTTAATTTGTGATTTAATTTTTAACTCACTGTGTTTTTTGAAAAACAAAATGAATTGTACTCATTAGAGTCACATAATGTACCAATTATTGATAATGATTAGATTGTATTTTGACAAAAAAAAAATTGTAATAGATCTTTTTAACTCACTATGTTTTTTGAAAAATAAATTATTATATTTTTTAATTATCAATTTACTTAATTTGTGATTATTTTTTTAATTATTGGTGATGATTAGATAGCATTAAAAAAATTGTGATTTGTATGATTAAAGTTATCTCCTTTTGTTTATAATTTTATTTTTTAATATGATTGAAATTAGATAAACATAAACACTCACAAAAAGAAAAATGTGATTGTAGTTTGTTCAATAGTTTTAAATAATCTTTTTTATTTACTATTTTAATGGTTATTATTTTTCAATTATATTTTTTTATCATGAGAAAAATGTCATTGTAGTTAGATAGTATTAAAAAAATTATGATTTGTATAATTGAAATTATCTCATTTGTTTATAATTTGATTTTTTTAATATGATTGAAGTTAACTCAGAAAAAGAAAAATGTGATTGTAGTTTGTTCAATGGCTCTAAATAATCCCAATCTGAATTTTCTAAATTTTTTATTAAAAAAAAAAACTCAACATTTATTGATTTGGTCAAAATCCCCTGATCAACATTTATTAACTTTTTTCAATCCACATGTCTTTTCACATGCCTGCATTTATTGATTTGGTCAAAATCCTTTGATCAGCATTTAAAATTCCCTCATACAAATAATTATCGATACAATCTGTGTATAGTTTCTGCAGTATCCTTTTCAATTTCTCTCATACACTATGATTAGTGATAAGATTGTTAAATTATTTTTATAAAAAAATCTTAAAAAAAACATAATTTATATATTAAAAAAATCTAAAACAAATATAAATATCTATAATTATCTCGTGCATAGCACGGGTGATAGGCTAATTATATATTAAGCAAAAGGGAGTTTTTAACCGCAAGACCTGTGAGAGTTTCAATATCCCAATTTGAATTTTCTAAATTTTTTATTTAAAAAAAAAAAAAAAAACTCAGCATTAACTTTTTTCAATGCACATGTCTTTGCAGGCATATCCCCTTTTTTTCGATCCACATGCCTGCATTTATTGATTTGGTCAAAATCTCCTGATCAACATTTAAAATCCCCTTATACAAATAATTATAGATACAATCCGTATATAGTTATTACAGTATCCTTTTCAACTTCTCTCATACACTATGGTTAGTGATAAGATTGTTAAATTATTTTTATAAAAAATCTTAAAAAATATAACTTATATATTAAAAAAAATCTAAAACAAATATAAATATCTATAATTATCCCGTACATAGCACGAATGATATTCTAGTTATAGTGTATTTAAAAGAGACTCAATGCCGTGAACATGTAAAAACAAAACTGATACAAACCCCCACTTGAGGGTAACTCCCACCACCCCCACATACACGTGGGGGTCGACAAGAGGAGGGTAAAAAAAAAAAAAACAAAAAAATTGAATCAATCAGCATTCAAAAGGGGTGGTAGAGGTCTCACTCATTTTTTATGTAAAAATCGTTAACATTTAATCAACAAATGGGCAAAAATGGTTGACTACTCATATCAAGATGACCTTCCGTTTCTAACAAGTATAATACTTAAGGAAGACGTCTAAGGGGCTGTTTTTCCTCTACTAATAATTTTGATTTTGATGAAAATGCAAACTTATCCAAGAAAAAGGAAACGGAAAATAAAAAGCTCAACAAACAACTACGAAGGTCAAAGACTGAAGCACCTACCACAACCGAAAGTAACATGGTGCATCGAGTTAATTTAGGAGAAAAGAAGGGGAGAAGTTTGCTGGGTGAAAGAAGGGAAGGGAAAGGAAGGGAAGGGAAGAAAGGGAAATAAAAGCCAAAGTTGAGGTTAGGTGCAAATCTCCGTCAAGATGACTTCAAACATATATCGGTCTTGTTTGACCTAATTTATTAGAATTGTTTATAATTTATTATATATATATATATATGTGTGTGTGTGTAGAATTTTTTTGTATAGCATCTAATTATTATTTATGAGGCAGAAATGGATTAAATAAGCTAGGAAAATAAAAAGTTGATTATCTAGAAGTTAGAAAAATGTGTTTATCTTGTTTTTTGCTGTTATCAACATTTAGCTTCAGAAAAATTGCACCAAACAAGACCATAATCACCACCTTTTTGGTTAGGGAGATGATGGGAACTTGAGCAGAGACCAACTTGCTAGTAGCATATATAATTGCACTTTTCAGGTCATATAATTTTAAGAATAACATCAACTACACCTTCAATATTTAGACTAGTGTAGTCTAAATTAATAAACAAAATTATGATGGCTCAGGGTTTGAAAGGCGAAACAAACTAATATGTAACAGTAAAATGTAACTATATCCAAATTTGCATAATACAATACAATAAAATCAACATAGTATGCAACAAATCAGAATTTGAACGACTAAACAGTACAAAAACAATGAAACAGAGATGTACACAAAACTAATACAAGACATAATGCAACAAAGGAACTATATGACCGATGAATGCAAACAAAACAGAAATTAAAGCATGCAAAATATAGATTAAAAGAAAACAAAGCCATGTATAAAGAAAAAACACACAACTTCAAAAGTTTACAAAACAGTGCGTACTCATGAAGTTATATGTTCGTAAAATCTTTACTTTGATTGATGTAAATTAAGTAAATGCGTTTATATATTTCATATATTACAGCAAACTTTCAGCTATGGAAGACCAGCAAACTAGAACTCAACCCCCAAAATTTGGTTTGTCACTAACAGCGCAAGGGATCTCAAGTAGAAAATGAAGACAACCCAACATTTATTTTCTTAGTATTTGACATCTTCAGTGGGTGTCGAGCACAACTTCAAAAGATTTCATGGTTCCATCAACAGTTTCTTAATATAATCAAGAACTTCGTCCACATTAACCATCCACGCCACTGAAACAGAGGCATATCCTGACCATGGGTTGCTTGAATCCCATCTGTATCAGATTATTAAGATAAATTTAGAAACAATAATGAAAAAGACCAAAATACACCCCCAAAAAAGCATTTTACTTGGAAATGGGCACGGAATCCTCTTTCCCCTAATCCCTATCACTCTATCCCAATGCACTCCCAACCCGATCATTTCTTGAAATTCCCACAAAACATCAATGACATTAGGACATAGAGGCATAGGGATTTGGGAACAGAGTATCCTTGGTCTTTTAAATGTACTTTTGTTCATGGTCCAGGAGTGTGTGCCCCATATATATCGCCTCTGTTCCAACTCGCACAACCCCCTTCTTGTATGTAAAGAGGTCGGGTCGAACTAGTGCCACAAAACTGACTGGGTCATGGAGGAAAATCCCTACATTTGTTAACTTCAATTTGTTATTTTGATTAATGTTTATAACTGACTACGTTGATTAACAATCAAAACAGCACAACTTTAATATTGTCCAATTTATGAACAGAAGTTACCATAGACTCCAAGAGACTCAACATGCCAATCTCTGTAACATTTGCACATAGTGCTTAACAATTGAGCATGTCTTCCCTCAGACTGCCTCAATTCATCAAGGTCAGCATCTGAAACCGCAAGATATCTTTGATTTAGGGGAGAAATAGATTCGTTAAAGCATGACACAAAACAAAAACTCTAACAAAGAAAACTAAAAAGGCGAAGCAGGACCTGTCATTATGACTTGTCTTGTAATGTTTATGCCAGTAATAACAATATTTGCCCCAGATGTAAACACAATCTCAGCTGCTTCTGGGTCCCCATAAATCTGCAAGTCGGAAAAGGCAAGTGGTGTAATTTGACAGAATGAGAACTTAAACTAGTTTCCATATGGTCAGTCCAAGCTGAGAGGGATCAAAGGACTGATAAGCATCTCAAATGTGCCTAAGTCCTAAGACTTCATCTTTAGCAAGCCTCGCCAACCTGACATCCCTTGTAGTTAGGAATCATTACATGGACACTTCTGTGTGCATGAAGTACATTTGTCGGACACTGACACTCATGGGTAAGGATATGAGGTGTGTCTGGCATGTTTAGTTAAACATTCACCTAACAGATATATTTAGTAATTCACATTTATTGTGAAACAAAGTATAAAGTGCCCATATTATGCATGAATGCTATAAATGCACCTTGTAAACACCATTTACTCAAGAAAATAAAACAAGTATATAGAGAAATAGAAATATGTTGTCATGTCCCCATATCCTTCGACATAATAATTAGAGGAGGACACGAAGACACATATCCGCATGGCAAGCAACAACTACACCATAGTCCATGTAACATAGCAACAGAACTCATACTTCACATGTCTGGACTGCACAAGCTACTACTACTCCAAGGAGTATACAATGCCACTCAAGTGCCTAAGCCAGTAGGCAAGGTTCAGGCATGCCAAAGTGTTCAATGTTCATCACAAGACTCTGGGGGGTCTTGTGACTTAGAGGCTAAAGATGGACGTTCTGCCTTAGCACTATGCACTCACGAGCGAAGCAGACTTAGGCATTCTGTCGAGAGAGAGAGAGAGAGACCGCATCACAAAAACCTATATATGGGACCTCGGTTATTGAGATTTGGACAAATCCTAATAATTAAATATATTTCTACCAAATCATAGCACTCGAAAATAAAAAAGGGCAAATTACCTACAAGTCATTTTTTAAAAGTGTGTATTTTATTTAATCCCAAAATTTTTAGATAAACGAAAAATCCTGTGCCCAGTATTTTCTGCTCTTTCTATGCACCTTACTTCTTCTCTTTATATCTATTTCTCTGAAATCCGGTGACAACCACACCTTCCTTTTGTTCTTTTTCTTTCTAATCTAAAGTCACTAGCAACCACTATTGCTTAGGGTTCACCGTCAACCACCGAGCACCGACTCCATGCTTCATGCTTACCGATGGCGAATAAGATAAGTTTTCGACGAAGAAGATGAGTAGATTTACATTAGATCCAGCTAGATTTAAACCAAAAATAGTTTCTGTAGCACAGGGAAATTATTTAAAATAATTTAAACAAATATATTATTTATACTTCATAGCTAAAGAATCCAATAATATCTTGATAGCTAAAGAAGCAAAATCATCAATGGTGATTGGAACAAAGGCTTCTGTCTCTACTATACAAAAACTTAAATTACAACCCATAATACGGTAATAAATAAAATTACTCGAAAATGCAAACGCTAATCCGTAGACATTCGAGCCGTCCTTGCCGGTAGGGCAAGAAGGTCTTCTTCTTCATCTCCTCCGCTTGTGCTCTATTCGCAGTGTAATGCAACTTGTGAGCCGACAACGGAACCCTACGCTTTCCGACGCCATTCACTAGTTTTCCGAAGATCTGTTTTTTTGCGTTTCCTTGTGATTCTTTTCCTTCTCGTCCTTTGAAGATGATGAGCAAGTAAACGTGATCGATGACCAAAACTTCTTTTTGTTACCTCTACCTTCGGTTTTGCTTATGTACAATAGATCCTTGAACAATATCCACTTCTTCAAAGTCCTTCCGGACGATGAAGACCTTGAAGACGAAGCAGAGCCTGACGGTGTTGTCTCGATCAACTGAGTTTCAGCTTCTTTGTTCTCAGAATCTTCCAACTCCAGAATGCGATGATGATGATGATGATGATGAGAGGCCTCATTTTCTTTGTGTTCTTGGCATTGGAACTGTGTTGCTCGTAGTGGTGACATCGGCCTGATCTGACCGTTCAAGAACAACTCGTCGACCGAACTCATCGATCTATTACCTACTGAACCGTTCGGTAAGAACCCAAAAGAAAATTCGAACTCAAACGAGCTAGACTCGGTTGACAAGAAAGAATCAGACCTAGGAGCGGTGGATAACACGTAGTGCATAGGACTTGTAGGAGCACTGGAGAAGTAGCCGATAGCAGGGCAGCCACGACCGGGGCTTGAAGGTGCGGAGACGTAGGGAGTGGAACATATGCTGTTGCTTTCTTCCCTAAGACGATGGCTTTCGTAAGCATCGTTGGTGTCGCCATTGTTGGAGGAGTGAAGGTCGACGTTTGGTTTGCCATTGTTAGGGTTTGAAAAGAGCACTATTGTTGTGAGTTCGAGAGCAGAAATGATAGAGGACCCCCACAACAACAATCCCCACAGAGACATGTCAGTGATGAGTGATAGGAGGAAAAAACAAAAAAAAACAAAAAACAACCAATTCCAATCCACTGGGGTGGTGGGGTTTTTCCGTTTGAGAGAGAGAGTTTTGGGGTGGGCTTAGGGACTGAAACGAGTTTGACTGGTTTATTGTACACGCAATAATTAGACAGAGAGCTCTGTGAATGAGGAGAGAATGCATATATGGTTATGCACTGTGCTTCCAATAAATATTAGAATTCAATTTTTTAATAATTAATTTTTTATTTTTTATATATTCTTATTTGGAAAAATTATTCAAAAATTCCATTTCAGAAAATGCTGCTTCATTTATTTTTGGATGTTTTCTTCTAAACCAACTATTCAAAAATTCCATTCCATTTCAGAAAATTATTTATGGTACGTTGTTGTGGTTTAATTTGGGAGTTTTGGAGTTTACTTTTTTACCTTTGGGTGTGATTTTGGTTTTAATTTTTTATTGATGTTGTGGTGAGTTGGTTATGGTATAGTGTTATTTTCAATTTTTTGTGGGGATTGTGTGAAGTGATTTAGGGGATGTTACCCATTTGGTGTGGGTCTCTAATACAAGTCAACATAGAATATAGTCGGGTTTGGTATTGATATGTTACTATTTTATTTTATGTATATATATATCTATACTATATATTAAGCAAAAAAGGAATTTTTAACCCCAAGGCCTGTGGGAGCTTCAATATCCTAATCTGAATTTTCTAAATTTCTTATTAAAAAAAAAGCTCAGCATTTATTGATTTCGTCAAAATTCCTGATCAGCATTTATTAACTTTTTTCAATCCACATGTCTTTCCACATGCCTGTATTTATTGATTTGGTCAAAATCCCCTGATCAGCATGTAAAATCCCCTCATACAAATAATTATAGATACAATCCGTGTATAGTTACTACAGTACCTTTTTCAAGACTTTTTAAGGAATTTTTTTTATGCTTGTTCTTAATACATTAAAGGGTTATTTTGAGAGTAAGGCTTGGGGGTTGGGAAAAGTTAATAAATGTTAAGGTTTTTTTTTTTTTAAATAAAAAATTCAAGAAATTTAAATTGGGATATTGGAGTTCCCACAAGACTTGGGGGTTGGAAGCCCCCTTTTCCTTAATATATATATACATACATACAATAAAATAGTAACATATCAATACCAAACCCGACCATATCATATGTTGACCTACATTACAAACCCACACCAAATGGGTAACATCACTAATCCTCTAAATCACTCCACACAATCCCCCACAAAAAATTAAAAATAACACTATATCATAACCAACTCACCACAACACCAATAAAAAATTAAAACCAAAATCACACCCAAAAGTAAAAAAGTAAACTCCAAAACTCCCAAATTAAACCAAAACAACATATGAAATGGAATGGAATTTTTGAATAATTCGTTTTGAAGAAAACATCCAAAACTAAATGAAGCAACATTTTCTGAAATAAAATTTTTGAATAACTTTTCCAAATAAGAACATATAAAAAATAAAAAATTAATTTAAAAAAAATTAAATTCCAATATTTATTGGAAGCACAACGCATAACCATGTATGCATTCTCTCATTCACAGAGCTCTCTGTCTAATTATTGAGTGTACAATAAACCAGTCAGACTTGTTTTAGTCTCTAAGCCCACCCCAAAACTCTCTCTCAAGCGGAAAAACCCCACCACTCCAATGTATTGGAATTGGTTGCTTTTTGTTTTTTTTTTTTTTCCTCCTGTCACTCATCACTGACATGTCTATGTGGGGATTGTTATTGTGGGGGCCTCTATCATTTCTGCTCTCGAACTCACAGCAATGGTGCTCTTTTCAAACCCTAACAATGGCAAACCAAACGTCGACTGTCACTCCTCCAACAATGGCGACACTAACGATGCTCAAGAAAGGCACCATCTCAGCGAAGAAATCAACAGCACATGTTCCACTCCCTACGTCTCCGCAACTTCAAGCCCCGGCCGTGGCTGCCCCGCCATCAGCTATTTCTCCAGTGCTCCTGCAAGTCCTATGCACTACGTGTCATCCCCCGCTCCTAGGTCAGATTCTTTCTTGTCAACTGAGTCTAGCTCGTTCGAGTTCGAATTTTCTTTTGGGTTCTCACCGAACGGTTCAGTAGGTAATGGATCGATGAATTCGGCCGACGAGTTGTTCTTGAACAGTCAGATCCATTCAAGCCGGTAATCCGGACCGAACCAAACCGAATCATACGGTTTGGTTCGGTTCTATTAAGAATTGGTTCGGTTTCGGATTAAGAAATATGAGAACTATAAAAACGGTTCGGTTAATGGATTTTATGAAAAAACCGCAGTTCGAACCGAACCAAACTGAACCGAATTTTAAAAGACATATATATATATAATATTAAGTTTTATTTTTATTAATTGATTTTTTTATAATTTTAATGATATTAGGATGGTATAGATATGTAATATTGAGTAATACCTTAATATTATTAGTTTTTATCATGAGTTAAATGTAATTAGTTTGAGTAATTATTTTGTTAATATTAACAATTTATTCTTATAAATAGAAATTTTTGGAACCGTAAACCAAACCGAAACCAAACCGTTTTTTCGGATTGGTTCTGGTCCGGTTTTACGAGTGTAATGGTCTGGTCTGGTTCTCAAAATTACAAAACCATTAGGATCGGTTCGGTTCTTGAATTTTCTCAGAACCGAACCAATCCGAACCGTGTACTCCCCTAAAATAAGATAGGGGTAAATAGTAACCCTCTAATTCAATTGTAAAATTGGATACAATCTTCTCCTACCATTTCTTCAAATCCTACCATCCCGTTGGAAAGAATTGTATTTGATTTTGTAAAATTCTACCCAAATAAAAGAACTTATGATAGTTGATTTTGTTCTAAAATAATATTTGTTATAATCTATTGCGATCGCCCCCATTTGTATTTTGGTTATGATTAAAGTAATTTTTTAATTGCAAGTCTAATTAGTGTTAGTTATGATTTAATGTGGCTATATCAATTGCTTAAATTTATTTTATTAGATATAATGGATGAAACCGGTATGTGCATGTACATTTTTCGGAGGTAAATAAAAGGGACTGGATTGTCTCCAGCCCTCTATTGGATTAGACCGTCTAGTCTGGTCCAGTGGGCCCTTTTTTTGCCCAATTTTGATAATCTGAACCGTTCACATTTTAGAATTCAAGTACAAAAAAGGTAAAATAAAATAAAATAAAATAAAAAATAAAAAAAACTAAGAGATCGAAGAAAAGAGACAGATATAGAGAGAGGCTTACACTACGGAAACTATTTTTGGTTTAAATCTGGCTGGATCTAATGTGAATCTGCTCATCTTCTTTGTCGGAAACTTATCTTATTCGCCATCGGTGAGCATGAAGCATGGAGTCGGTGCTCGGTGGTTGACGGTGAACCCCAAGCAATGGTGGTCGCTAGTGACTTTAGATTAGAAAGAAAAAGAACAAAAGGAAGGTGTGGTCGTCACCGAATTTCAGAGAAATAGATATAAAGAGAAGAAGTAAGGTGCAGAGAAAGAGCAGAAAACAATGGGCATAGGATTTTTCGTTTATCTAAAAATTTTGGGATTAAATAAAATACACACTTTTAAAAAATGACTGGTAGGTAATTTGCCCTTTTTTTAATTTTTGAGTGTTGTTATTAGCACCTACAAAAAGAAGAGTTGGGTTGGTAGCATCTCAATGTTTATATTTGGTTTCTTGATCTCCATTGGGTGAGTTTTGGAAACTTTGTTTTGCAATCAAACACATGACGGTAGATTAGCTTACCCCGTATGAAATTTGATATTGACTCACAACTTTTTTTCATATGATAGGATGTTCTACTGCTTTTCAGCCCTCTGATACTTCTAGTTGGATTGGATTTGGACGGTGGAAAGAGTTGCTTTAGTTTCTTTGGTGGCAACAATTGTAGAGTCACTCCCAATTACAGAGGTGGTGGATGATAACATATCGGTTCCTTTGGCGAGCATGGTAACAGCATTTTTGATTTTTTGCTATTAGCAAGTCTAGACTGGTCTTGTCATGTATTTAATTATTTTTCTTAATGTGTAAATAATCATCGGGAGAGGGGCACCTACTGTCATGTATTTAATTAGTTTTCTTGTAACCGTGGCAAAGTCATTGTTCACCTAGGGACCACGCTTTTAGCTTTCATTTTTTTTTTTTTTTTTTTATGTCAATTCTCCATGTTTGGTTCCATAAAATTGAGTTCATTTTTCAAAAAATTAAATTTTTTATTTTTCGTATTTTTTTTAGTGAATTTTTAAAAATATTTTAGATAAATTTTATATTTTTGATACACTTAATCTAAAAACACTTAAAATGGAAAAATCATTACATACCTTTGAGATATCAGGTAGTCATGCTTCCTCACCAATTATGCATTATGTTTCTTCTTGTTTTTAAATCACTCAAAACAAAATCATAATACACCACTTTCTTCACCAATCATACTACTATAGAGCACAACGTGGCCATATTTTCGGACTACTGAATAATCACTATGATAGTTCAGGACTATGGTCACATGGTACTTCATAATAGTATGATTAGTGGAGAATGAGGGTATTATGATTTTGTATTGGGTGATTAAGGAATATGAGAGGGTACAATGAGTAATGAGTGAGAAAGTATGATCACGTGGTATTTCAGGATTATTTAATAATTTTCGCAACAGCAAACAAGGTTACTTCCTTAATATCAAAATGATGGAATCGAGGTGTTTGGTCCATTAATTATATATGTAGTACCATTGTATACAATGATATTGCATGTCTAAATCCTATGAAATAGAGATTGATATCCTTTGATTGTGTTAACAACTAATTATTATTGATGTATACCTAATGGTGTAAGTAGTTTTGTTTAGTCGGATTTAGGCTTCATTTGGGAATAAGTTCTTTTAGTAATTTTTTTATTTTTTAACTAAAATATGATATAAAAAAATTAGCATGTTTGAGATGATTTTTTTTTTTTTTTACAAAATGATGTGTAAAAAAAAGAGAGAAATAAATCTTTAACTTTTTGCTATAGATTATTGGCTTTTTGATTTTTTTTTAGTAAATTTTTTACTTTTAAACTAAAAAGTGAAATTGCCAAATGAGGCTTTAATGGAAAAATTATCACTGAATGAAACTATTCAGTTTTGTTAACACCATTTACTCAAGAAAATAAAACAAGTACATAGAGAAATAGAAATATGTTGTCATGTCCCCATATCCTTCGACATAATAATTAGATGAGGACATGAAGACACATATCCACATGGCAAGCAACAACTACACCATAGTCCATGTAACATAGCAACAGAACTCATACTTCACATGTCTGAACTGCACGAGCTACTACTCCAAGGAGTATACAATGCCCGCTCAAGTGCCTAAGCCAGTAGGCAAGGTTCAGGCATGCCAAAGTATTCAATGTTCATCACAAGACTCTGGGGGGTCTTGTGACTTAGAGGCTAAAGATGGGCGTTCTGCCTTAGCACTATGCACTCACAAGCAAAGCTGACTTAGGCATTCTGTCAAGAGAGAGAGACCACATCACAAAAAACTATGTATGGGACCTCAGTAATTGAGATTTGGACAAATCCTAATAATCAAATATATTTCTACCAAATCCTAACAGAATTCTAGGAAATCTTGATAGTTAATTATGGTCACATGCCTAACCTTCTATAAATAGAAGTACATTTTGCAACATAAGCTTCCCCTGCGTCACTCTCTCTCTCTCTCTCTCTCTCTCTCTCTCTCAAATGGATGGACGACCATGTCTCTTCCCCAGATGTCCTCTAAGTCCTTGGTGTCTGATGTGTTTTGCCACTCTCTAATGAACCTTTGACCTCTAGTCAGCCTCTTCACTTTTGTTTTGACTAGCAGCCAACTGATTTATTTACAACAGATGGAGGGGGTTCTTTATGCTTGTCATTTAAGAAAATTTGATCTTTGGGCAGTTCTGATATGGAAAATTTGGAATCACAAAAATCAGGTGCATCACCCGTGACCAAATGCAAGACCCAAAGATGATTTTTTATCGGCAACTGATTATTTACAAGAGTAAGTGAGTAGAGATCAGACCAAATTCTTAATTCCAGCTGAGCACTTACATTTGCTTCAGCAGCAGGATTGACATTTCCCAATGCAAAGAAAGATCCGCCAAGGATGACCACTCTTTTCACCTTGCTTGCAAAGGATGAGTCCTTTTTGACAGCCTGATCAAAACAAAATGCATCTTTAAGATTGATAAAACTTGGAAATAAATGTGATATGCACCACAGTGAACGGAAGGGAAGGATACTAAAACTTACCAAAGCCAAATTTGTCAATGGTCCAAGTGCCAGTATAGATACTTGGCCAGGATATTCAGAAACCATATCCACCAAAAATTCTGATGCAGTCTTCTCAATTTTCTTGGATTTTGGAGGAGGTAAATTTGTGTCCCCTAATCCATCTAAACCGTGAATGAAGTATGCAACATCTGGTGTTCCACCCTGTTCCAAAATACATTAAATGCACATGTAGCCTGTGTTTTGATATAGTGCAACTGTGCAGAAAATTATAGATAAACTCATAAAAGAAGTTACCTTTAGAGGCTCAGGGCTACCCTCTGCCACAGGAACATCAGGGTATCCTGCAATCTCACCATATCGATTTGCACATCAAAAATAATCATGAAAATGTTCCAAAAACATCAAAGACCACAAATTATGGAAAAAAATATATTTACTGTATAGGAAATTAGAATTAGAATCGACTAATTAATACATACAAGGATCAAAGCATTGCAAGTGGCATCTTCTGTAGTAACATTACCAAATATTGTTGTTAAACCTAAGACCTCCAGCTGTGGAGTTTGGAATGCCATGAAGATCGCGACGCTATCATCTGTGTAGATCAATGAAGATTCCATTCACATCTCACACATGACAATTAAGTAATTTTTTCCCCTTCTTTTTGTCACTATGAAATAGGAATCTTATTACATTATGAAAGAGAGAATGTGAGCACTACTAAGGATAATGGCACAGCAAGAAATGCTATATAAACAGACAAACAAATTTACAAACTGATGTGAGATTTTATTATATGCCTTCTCTTCAAAACATAAATTGATGTGAAACATAATTACAATAATGCTATACAAACATAAAATATATATGGTAATTGGATAGAGAACAATATGATTGAATTTGAATCTATGATTTTAAGATAGAGAATCCAAACACATGGTGTTTATTTTCAAGACTGTCACAACCATGTAATTGTGATAAATTTTGTATAAAAGTAATTAAGATGCCACCTCAATTTGTTGTCAAGAAGAGTCACACATTTATTTATAAAAAAACTTGTTCAGAGAAAAGAAAAACAAGATTACCTTGACTATACGTCACTCCATTTTTTTTTTTTTTTTTCAATCAATAGAAGATTATTCACAATTTTCTAGAGAATTATATCAAATTGGGCAATCAACTATGTAAGAATGTCTAACAACATATATCTGTAACACATCCACAAGCTCAACACCAACAATCATTACAACACTACAACAAAGAACCCCGTAATAGGAACTAAATAAACAACTAAAGAAAAACACCCTAATAGTGAAAAAATAATCAATCTTCACTTTTGGCAATGATTAACCCTATCAGTAGTGGCCAACTGAGCTCAAAGTGGAGTTAGGCCATCTTCAACGCTTCACCAGATCTATCATCAAATTCAAATTTGGTGAAAAAGTACCTCTTTTTATGCTCCAATGGTTTCACCAAACATGTATCAAATTGAGAAAATAGCAAATGTTTCATCAAACTGAGGACCTAGGAACCTTTCACCATTTTACTGTATATGACCGTTGAGGATGGAACCCACCGGATGTCCTGCCAGATGTCCCCCCAGTCATCCTCGTCCTTGAACAATTCATTGAATTTCCAAGCTCATTTGAAGACAAATCAAGACACTCAAGCTTAGACAAATTCCCAAAAGCAGGTGGGATTGATCCATGTAAGTTATTATATGAAAGGTCAAGCTATTCAATGCTTTGAGCTTAGAAATGATAGTGACATTACCTTCTAGCCCTCGGAGTGTAAGATCGAGCATTTCGACCATGGATTGTTGGAGTTACATCCAATGCCAGACCAAGAACAGTGGAATTGCTTTGAGCTCATAAACAGCTTCTCATTTCAAAAACCCACTTGCCTCTCCAAAGATTACTTAGGCCAAGTTTGGGAAGACTAAATAAGTGCACTTTTTGTCTTTTTAGACTAAAAAGTTGAGGTTGAAAATATGAATGTTTGGGTTAACTTTTTGACTTTTTATGGAAAAATGTGTAATAAAAAATTGTAAAAATTAGTTTGTAGGGGAAAATTAGAATTGGGAATTGTGCAGCCGTAATTGTTGACTTTTGGTGAATAGTAATGACTTTTTAACTTTTTGAATAACTTTTTGACTTTTTGGCTTTTTTTAAACTACCCAAACTTGACCTTAATCAATATTCAAAGATTTTGGTAAAAACACAATCGAGAGCTCACACAAAAAAGACCTGAGCTTCAAAACCCCAAAAACAAAACAAAACAAAACAACAACAAAAAGTTTCACTTTTTAAAGATGACCCATTTTAGAAATCCCCAACTCACCACTTTCTTTATGTTCAGCCTGGAAGAGAAATCCCCAAATCCCCAATGGTTGGGGCTCTGAAGAGAAAGAAGAGTAAGGAGAGCCAAAAGGGTAATAGGAGGAAGAAGAAGAAGAGGAGGAGGTAGAGGGAGGAGAGAAGGAGGAAGTAGAGTGAGAAGGGAAGGGGGAAAAAGGAGAGGAGGAGGTGGCTGTGATGGTTGATGAGGCACTTTTATAGAAGGCTCAAGGGCTTTCATAAACTCACCCCTGACTTTCAAAGTGCTTCCATCAATGTCTCTCTCTTCTCTCACTCATTCGCACATATCAAGAACACTCTCACTGTCTCTCTCACTTATGCTCTGTTTTGGACATTCTTCAACAACCTCCATTATCAAGCACCTCTCTCTCTTTGATTGAAAAGTATCCATCAACGAAGAGTTCTTTGTAAAAATTGAGATACTTGAAGCTATTTGAGAGTGATTATTACAAACAACTAGCAGTAATAAGAATTGAGATACTTCGGTGCCTCTGTGATGATGTGATTGAAGTGGAAGCCATAAGGTCAGAGATTAGTAAGAGAGCACTGGCAACTGAACTGAATATGGATATTGATCAGAGTATGAGGGTTGAGACTGCTAAGAAAAGGACATCAATGGATGTTTGCGGTGGTTCTTTCTTGATTGAAGAGGAGGTTGATGTTTCCACAGACTAGAATAGTGATGAATGTTGCCTCTGTAAGCTGGAACAGTTGCCGGTCGATCAGCCGGACGTCAGCCCGGTCATTCCCCCGGTCGATCTGTGTTCTGATGACAGCACCGTCAGAGTGGCTGATATTAGATAAAGGAATTCGTGCTTTTTTTATTCAGATTTGATGAAATATTTGGTGAACCGTTGGAGATGCCCTTATAGGCACAACACCATGTTATGAAGCTCATGGGAACAGGTCTCCAACCTATTTCGATGATCCAAAACATTCATATACTAGGGTTCATTGAATAAATCATTCATGAAAAAAATTAGGTTAATTGGACATATCTTTTAGAGAACAATTAAAATCTTATGCGGAAACAGTGGACCATTTGCTGCTCCGTTGCCCATTTGCTTCTCGTTTGCGGGTGCTTGTTTTCTCTTTGTTTGGTGTGGTCGGGGTTCAACCTAGGCGGGTCATGGATGTGTTGTGGTGTTAGGGGGTGGTTGAGTTGGGAAGCAGCGGCAGAAGGGTTTGGCGATTGTGCCTTTGTGTTTGATGTGGTTGGTGAGTGAAATCGACGTATTTTTCAGGATAGTGCTCAATCCATTGCACGGTTAGAGGCTTGATTTTTGGGTGTTTTGTACAGCTGGGTGTCAAAAAAGGTGAATCCAGATTTATTTGCTCTCTTAGATTTTGTTGATAATGTAGTTGGTTAGGCTCCCGTTTTGCGGGCCTTGGTTTTGTATTCTTTTGGCATCTTCTTGATGTTGTGGTAATAAAATTTCATTTATCAACAAAAAAAAAATTAAAGTCTAATCATGAGGGTACACATATTCGATTAATCTCTCTTTTATTTTTATTTTTATTTTTTTTAATTTTTTTATGGATAAGATGTTTGACGAACCCTATTATAAGCGGTTGAGATTATCTCAAAACAAGTTCGGGACAAATCCCATGAGGTGTCACGGCACAAGTGCGGTGACAGCACCCACCACATATCTCGACTGAGCTAGTGGACACTTCTTTTTCTTTTTTCTTTTTGCTTTTTTTTTTTTGGGTCAAATAATATGTTTATGATTAATTTGTCACAACCACATATGCAAATACTTATGATCGATTCTTGTTAAAAAATAATCATTCAGTAAATAAAATCTCGTGCCCAATAATATAAGCAGTTAAAAAACTGGAAATATATAAGAATTCCACTGACATAGAATGCTCTGTTAAAAAATTTTTTCCATTTAAAATCGACTATCAATTTATTAATTAAACCACTTATATTACACACACACACACACACAAAAAAAAAAAAAAAAACCTCCTACCACATTGAACTGTTTATCTATTTTTGCAAGTAGGGGACAACATATCAAAAGGGTATATGGGAGAGAAAATTGAAAGAGATGATGTGAAGCCCAATTGACTCAACACTGAAAAAGGTAGCTAAGGAATAAAATGGGAAAACAATTATGCAGTGGTGAGAGAGAGAGAGAGTGAGAGAGAGAGAGAGAGAGAGAGAGAGAGAGAACATACCAATACCAGGATCTGTATCGATTATGATCTTCTCACGAACAAGTTTCCCGGAACCCATTTCGTTGGGGGTCACAAATGCCATTAACTGTTAACTGTGAATCGAGAGGAATATTACTAGCAGGGTTTAGATTACGGAGCTACCGAATTACATTAATAAATCAAACCTTTTGTCAGCTTTGTTTGTAAGCTCAGCTGATCTGGTAGATAGGGCTACAAACGAGCCGAGTCGAGTCGAGTTCTGTGAAGCTTGAGCTCGGCTCGATAGAATTTGATAATGTTCGGGCTCGGCTCGAGCTCGAGTCGAGTTATGAAAGTTGCGCTCGAGCTTGGCTCGCTAGATATTTATAAAGCTCGAGCTCGGCTCGACATAGCTCGTTTACAAACGAACTAGCTCGAGCTCGAGCTCGAACACACAAACAAATTAAGCTATGAACAGGGCCAAAATCAAATCTGCCTTGTTCTTATAAACTTGTTCAAATCTGCCAAAATCAAATCCAAACCACAACTGAATCTTTCAGACTTGTTCTTATATATTAAATAATTCACCAAATAAGCAAGCACAAATCTTACTACGATACCCAAAATGAATATAGGTGATCTGATACACTAAAACAATAAATACTCAAATCAAACGTGGATCATCGTATTGTTATAAAATGGTCAATCTACCGTATATATGTATATATATATATAGACAACACCAACCTATACCATTAATCTAAAGCACCAGGTGCAACAACATGAAAAGTGGGAGATAAATATAAATAAATAAAAACATCAATGCCTAGAGATTAGTACACATTTTTTACAAAATTTATATATATATATATATATATCTCAATTCTATTTTCATATTTTCCATTCCATTGAAACATTAAACAAAAACAATGAGATACAAAATCATAGATCTTTGATTTCTATACAACACATCTTGAAATTTCATAAACAAAGGAGGATCTAAATCAAAGAGAACAAAAAACGAACGATTCAAACCAGATCAATCTTGAGATCAATAATAATAACAATAATCAACATGTAAGAGAGAGAGAGAGAGAGAGAGAGAGAGACTTACATCAGAGGAATTGCTAATGAGTTCACGGAGAAAGATCTCTTTATTGCTGTAGAAAGTGTTGATGATGAGACTCAACAACTGGTTGATCTCAACCAGGAAAGCAAACGTCTCGGTCTCCGCCATTTCCGATCTGTAAACATACACTCTCTCTCTAGAAATTGAAAGGCGATGAAGATGAGTGAGGAGTTTTAGGGTTTGTGACCGTAGGTAGCCCCAAAATTTGTCTGCAGAGAGAAAACCACACAGCAGCTTCCAAATTTGAGGACTGAACCCTAATTTCATAACACACACACATATATATATATATATACGAGCCCAACCGAGCCGAGCCTTACCAAGCTCGGGCTCAGCTCATTAATAAAACAAGCTTAAATTTCTAGCTCGAGCTCGTTTATTAAGCAATCGAACCGAGCTCGAGTCGAGCCTAATCGAGCCGAGTTCGAGCATGTTTGTGAACAGTTCGTTTCGTTTGCAACCCTACTGGTAAACCATTACAACGGACTTGATCGCTGCTGGATAGGTAATGTCAAATGAGAACGACAAGTATATGCGACTTGATCATTGACCTAAAAGTTAATTTTTTTGTTTTTTTTCTAAAAAAATTATGTAAAAGATATGAGAGATGATATGATTTAGGGTGATTGTACTTACACCATTATTTAACTTTTTTATACTTTCCATCTCATTGCACCACTAAAAAAAATGTAATTCTTATTACACCGCCAATATACTACCAAAACTAACCTAAATTAACTATTTTATCTTTTTACACCACTAATTTTGGTAACACGATACTAAACAATTTACATTATTCGGTGTTATATTGTTGGGAAAAATAGGTCTCTCTAATATTTTGTTGTTATACATTTACAGAAACACTTTCTTTCAAACAATGATTTTTTAATTTGTGGTGGGCCTGTTCGGTAATACAACGCTAATTAATTTAAATTACTCCAGTGCCATGTTATCGGATAATATTTTTTTTCCCAGCATTATGTTGCCGTCCAATTAGATAATAATAAGAAATTAATTTGGGTCACTTGTGAAGTGCATGTTCAGTGATACATTGTTATACAAATGGGATTATTATAATGTTATGTTGCCAAACTACAATAGAATTGTCTAGGCCCCTGTCGTTGTACATTGAAAGATTTACTTTTTTCTTGAAACTCCCATAAAAAAATTTATAAATCAAACACGCATCCATAAAATCATACATAAAAAGTATCCATAAAATTATTCATAAAAAAATTAAGTGTACGAATATCCATAAAGTATCCATAAAATCTGTCATTGTTTGCATCTATCAATCAAACATGCTATCACAATTCGTCTTGATAATTTTTAGGTAATTTTTCTCCACTTAATAGAAATAGACGTCCACATTTTTTAGAGCCTGTCAATCTCAATCGTTCCCCCTTGATCTTCATGTTATCTCTATAATAACCACTTCTTTTACAAACAAGTGTAAGTCATAGTTTTCTGCCATTGCCTTCCGCATCTGATGTCTTTATAACAATGATAAATCTAGTCTTTTTCCCAACGTCAGAAGCCCATTTAATTCATGCTTCACGACTACGAAAAATCTAAAGATAATACATTTATACGTCAAATTATTAATAAAACTCAATACAAATTAAAAATAAGAAAAAATTATATTTGTAAAAAAAAAAGACGTAACAAATTTCGTCTGTAATGAATTCATGACTAGTGTCCACTAATATTGTAGTACTTGCGTTGTTGCAATGAATATAAATATAATCATTTCAGGCAAAAAAATTAAAAATATAAAAAAATAAAATTGAAAATATATGGTAATGAGAAGCCGAACAAATTAAAAAAATTCGATTTGGGGTTACCGGAAATGTATCTTTTATTTGGTAGTTGGTTATCGAACTTATATTTTTTGTTCGACAATGTACTGTTGAACTATTTTATTTTGTTCGATTTCGAATCACTAAACGAAAGTCGAACACCAGTCTAGAAAAACGCAATAAAAACTTACCAAATAAATAAAAAAAACCCACCATTTTACTTTTTTTGATGGTTCTTCACCACTGTTTCTTCATCCATTACTTTCTTTAATGATTAAAATATTATGATTCTCACTTTTTGAAAAGAGATATGTAAAAGAAAATAAAAAGAAGAGTGGGAATTGAAGACCAAGGGATATAAGGAGATAATAAAATAAATTTAATTTTAGTGTTTTATCCTTAAAGGTAATTTCACACATGAATAAAATTGGAGGGAGGAAAAAACTCATATAGAGAATGTAAAGAGGTAAAGTAGTTGTGTAAGTAAAATCACCTTATGATTTAAAATGAGTTAAAAGTTGAAAGATGGCTTTTAGCCCTCTTCCCAAAATAGCCCTAAGGGTGGGCAAATGCTGGTCCAAACCCGTAATAAGATATTTTGTGCCTATCTAAGTCTGGTTAGGTCTTAACATCGAGACTTTATATTTGTCTAAATTCGATTTAAAAAATAATTATAGATCCTAAATCTATAAATCGGGCTATGTGATTAAAAAAAATTAAAACATTCAATAATTAAATTTAATCACACATTATATTTTTTAAATAAATATATTGACATTATTATAAATTGAAAGATTTTGAATATAGATTGAAGGATTTCTCAAATAAATTCAATCATACGTCACCGAAAATGTGAGTTTTAATAAAATTAATAAAGATAAAGTTTAGATCCCAAATATATATATATATATATATTAATGTATTATAAATAATTAATTAATTAATTAGCAAGCCAAGTTGGGTTGAAAGTATAAATCTGAAGCCCAGCCTATTAATATTTCGGATTGAAAATGTTGGTCCAGCCTGGCCCTATGGAGTAAAGTAACTTTCCAAAGCCTTAGAAAAATAGAGCTAGGTTAGGCGGGTTAACGGGCCGATATCCAACCCTAATACAAGTGTAGCAGGGCTTGGTTTTACGATAGAAAATTTGTTCACAAAAATACAAATTACTTTCTTCTTTTTTTCTAAACCAATAAATAACCAATGAGATATCCCAAGGTTGGATAACATGGTAAGGTATTAGCCAGCATGACAATAAGTTCAGGGTTTAAAACCTCTACTAGTCTTCTTATAGCCCTTGACTGAAATTAGGTAGTGGGGGGTAAGGTCCTCGACATCCTCTCTTGAGTTGGCTTATAGGATCGGGTCCTAAGGGCTCAGCCTTGGGGGTTTAAGGGTTACCAAATAATAATAATAATGATAATAACCAATGAGATGGTCTCACAAAAAATATAAAATGATTCAATGAGAAGGTGTGTGTAAACAAATTTACACTCCAACTTAGCACTTAATAGTGCTTACAATAAATACCAGTGATTTTTTTAATATTTAAATATAAATTTGAAAGAGAAAATTTGTGAAAAGTCTAATTTAAAGAAGGTATAATATTAGATCTAAAGAAATTTTTTTTTTTGTGATAAGGACATTTGTTGGTTAAAAGGATATTACCACATATTTGTTGAAATTTTTATTTTAACATATCTATTCAAATCTTTTTTTTATCTATTCAATTTTTCTAGCCTATTTGTTCAAATTTGTATCTATCTATTAAAATTCACCAAGTCTATTTTTTCCTATCTATTGAAATTCACCAAGGTTATTATCCATATCTATTGAAATTCACCAAGCTTGTTTTTTCATATTTGTTCAATTTTTTATTCTATCTGTTCAAATTCTCATACACATACAAATATATATAAAGAGGAGAGAGAGAGAGAGGGGGGTTATATTTGTCAAAATATTTTTTTATCTGTTCAAAATCCAACTCTCTCTTTACAAACCCATTTCATTAGAGTCTTCATTTGAGTTTCTAACCCTACTTAGATTGAATTAGCCAACGTGTCTTCAGTATCCCCCAGCCTAAATCAATAACCAACGATGATGGGCTAGACGTTATTGAACATTGAATCAAATATATTTTGCTATCTTTAAAACCTATCTCTCTCTATAAACCCACATACTATTTCCTCTTTCTATCTATCTATCTATCTATCTATCTATCTGTCTGTCTCTCTCTCTTTCATACAAGTTAGAATCTGACTCATCGGAGGTGAAGAGGCTCAGAGATGATCTCCTTTGCAATCTCGATGACTCAGATGTGTGCACGACAAGTCTACATCTGGACTCCTTTATGAAGAGCTTTGAGGTAAAGATAATCATTTCACCACCTATGACAATGGTGGATCTGACATTATATTCTAATGAGTCTCAACCTGATCTAGGTTTCCTTATTGAAGCTTCTGATGACGAGTTTGGTCTTCCTCTATTGAATATGACGACGAGCGATGAAGATGTCATTGAGTTGGTGCAAGTTTCATTTGACTCGTCGACCGAATTTTGTGAGATATGAAGGTTTGATGATCAGATCCTAAGTTATGACTCGTTCAAATTTGGGTTCGCCGGCGTTGAGAATAATAGCGAATATTCGATATTCAGAGAGAGAGAGAAAGAGAGAGGGGGGGATGTGTTTATTTGTACAGATAGAGAATGGTGTCCTTATACACTTAAAAATCTCCTTATAGACGTAATAGTTTAGCGTTTGGGTAAAAAAAATTCAAATTTGAATTTATGGGCTGAGTGCCCAATTCGAAAATGTTATTAATTTTATGATTTATTTTAGGAAAAATTACAGATAAGTGAGAATTGGACAAAATATTTATAAATTAATGAAAAAATTTATAAATTTAATCATTTATGTTTATATAGTTTTTCAATAATTTGAATTTTTTTGAAAAACTACAATGATTTGTAGTTTTCCCTTTATTTAATGCTTTTATGAAGATTATCTAATAATTAGCGCTTATGGATTTAAAATGTAGCCTATGCTAGAAAAAAAATATAATTAAAGACTAAACTTCAACTAATTTTAAATTGGTAGAGATTTTTATTTTTTATTCTTTTTAAGTGAGTCTTTTTCAAAATATGTGAAGTTTTAAAAAAATATAATAGCTACTTTTCATTTATAAACTACATGGACCATGACCTTTTTCTAAATCTGTAAAATTTGTATTATGTTCTAAGGTAGAATTTTTTTATTGTATGGGAGATCTTTTTAAAAGTGGGCCACTAAAAAAAATGATCTTATTAACAAATGTCCTAATAATATTGGTTAACAATTTTTAAAGGGTTTGAACTGCCTCCAGTTGAGCTAGTCAATTAGATGGTCTAGTCTGGCTCAGTATGGGCCCATTTTGAGTACATCTCGATGATTCAAACTATTCAATGAGTAAGACTCGTCAAGT